TCTCGACGTCGCTGCATGCTAGCGTGGCGATGCGCAAAATCTCGATAAGATCACGCACCGCCGCCGCCGTCCTCATCGTCGTCGATGCAACGTCGATCTAGCAGAGCATTCACATTGTGAGTGTGATTGTCGGGCCGGCGACTTTTCCGCTCGACCAACGCGTATAGCGCAATATTTCCGTGATCATCTTGGATGGGCTGTGCGACACATTCGACTTCGCCGATCCATGAATGAGCACAACCTACGAGGTCTCTAGCAGCTCGCTACGCATTCGTGATTGTATGCGCCACTTGATTCCGAAAGGCCTCTGAATGCGCAGGTCTCGCGCCCATCCATCATGGGTGGCTATCGCCACAGCTGAGGCCACAGCAGTCGTCAAGACGTGATCTGTCCCCTCAGTCGACATTTCAGTAAGCTCCTGCTGGAAACCCTCTGCTGTCGCTTCACGCTGCTGTTAGTGATGAGCCCGGCGACATTTTGCCATGCCATATAAGCGAGACATCGATCGACTATGTGCAAAGTACAGCACACACGCGGAGATTTTGCATCCGCTCTTGGTCGTAAGTAGTGCGCGGCGGGCTTGCTCGAATGGGGTCGCCGCTTGCGGCCTGTATCGTACGACTTGATTGTTGCTCTATTTCTTGCAACATTTGCTCGAATTGCTGCCCAGGACTGTGAGCGTACAAAGAGCTCGTGGGCATTGGAAGGAGGGTCACGCATCGAGCAAGATCAAGCTTCGAGTCCCTGCAGGCATCCATGGACGGCACTTGCATGGCGCGGCGGGCACCAATCACCGCCTGCCTCCGCGCTTCGCATCAGCGATATACAAAAGGAGCAAAGCAGAATTTGAATTCAAATTGAATGTAAATCGGGGTGCACAGCGTAATCACGTGTGCGCGCCGGGATCAAATTCCCTGCTGGCGTCAGCACAAACGCGCGGACGCGAACATGCCGCCGGCGGGGCTGGCGTTGCAGCAGCAGGCCGTGATAGGAAGTTCCTTAAACATCCGACACAACGGTCAACCATCACATCGGCACGCGATCCTACATTGGGAACGCATTCAGGAACTCTACCAACATTTCGACGGTTCAACGGCTCGTGTGCAGAAAAGAAATGCGAACACTTTTCCTCTGCGCAGCTCGCGACTGGTGTGCTCGAAGTATCAAAGGTGCTGCTGCACTCCGCGACGCGAAAATGGTCACGCAGACAGCGGAACGCCTCGCTCGGCAGCTTTTGCTTGCGGAAGGGGAAGATGCTACAAAGGCCATGGCTGACATGACACGGAAGCACCGCAACGGCATCCTAGACCCAGAACAGCGGGCCCCGATAAGATTGCCTTCGACCAGCTGAAGCAACCTCGGTTGCTTTGACGCGGGCCCCCTCGAGTCGTCTGTATGCGTCACAGGACCGAGTGCTGCTTTGCGGGACCATTTATTCCCTTCGTGATCTGGCCGCCGAGCTAATTCAAGTCGCCGGCACGCACACTGTACCACAGCTGAGCTGTTTGTGCTTCCTATGATGTGAAGGCAATAGCAGACGAGAGCCGCTTGTAGAGTATGTTTTGCGCTTTGCACTGCCGGCGATCAAACGCTTTGGGACCCATCTCGCCTCGTCTCGGAAGCACCAAGATCCGAAGATGCCTCAAGTCTTACTTTTGATTGCCACAATCCACAGCTCAATGGGAGCGATAACCGCAAGTGGAGCGCAATGTTGCTCCATGCGGCATGACCGTTGAGCGATTCACCGTTGCGCTGAACGTAGGAAGTTTACTTAAGATGAGCTTCAAGCCGTTTACCTCTTTTCCACTTTCTCGCGAATCGACAAAAGGGATGAATACTCACCGACTCGTCGCAATCCGCTCTTGACGACCTTTCGATGTTCCACCATCAATCTTCCATCCACATTCACATCATTTACCCACATAGCTTCTTATCCTTCTCGGCCCATTTCTTATCCACTGACTACAAAGCATCTATCTCAAGCGTTAGCACACTACCGCGTCCCAATCGACCTCTCGGACCGGCCAGCTTTTATCGTCCTACGCATTCACCATGGAGCAGCGTACGCAAGACAGTCCTTGGACATTGCCTAGGCGGCCCTCGATGGTGCACATTTCCGACCAGCATTACCCAACATATTCCCCTACCCAGCCTCAACGCGTGCTATCCACGTACCCCGCAAAGGTGCCAAAGCCTGGTGCGCTCGCTCCAAATGGCGCTTGTGTGCAATACCCCTCATCTTCGCGCTCAGGCGAGCAGGTGTGGGAAGCTCTTCACACATCTTGGCCGAGTAGCCCTGCCATGCCCACGGCGGCACTGAGGGCAGAGTCAAGAATGCAGCGTGCTCGAGTATTTGTCAATCCTCTACCTCCGGCATCCTCCTTGCACCAGAACATGTGCAACATACGCATCACGCTCACTGTATACGGAGACGGAACAGTACCGCTGGCGCACGTTCCTTTGCCCTTGGCTCACTTGCCTCGACAATCGTGGCCTGACCCTTCTTGCTACAGCCTGTCTCCTGCTTCGCGCGTGAGCGAAGGCGCCTATGACTCTTCTCCACGCACCGTCAATGCCCACTCCACTGTGACATTGAAGGGGCCTCTGCCGGACAAACGCCTGCTTTTTCCGCCTCCGATGGACGGCAGAGGTCGAGCAATGGATCATGGAAGATGCTGGAGTCGAAGAGGACTAGGCTACGAATTCGTGACCATTCTTCCAAACGGAGCTCCAAGATTCAGCAGTCCTAGAGCTCGATCGACGACGTTCCCAAATACTTCGACGAATGTGTCTCCACCCAAAGCATCTTTGCCTAAGACTTCCACAGAGACGGAGAACAGTGGCTGCGTTGACATGCTAGACACGCCAAGGAGTAACATCGACGCTGCTGTCGAGGCTGCACAATCTGAAACACCATTGGCCCTCCAACTGGGACAATTTCCAGCGGACATTGCCGATACGCCTTCCTCAGCGCCGGCCGAAGATGCGAATTTGGACCCTCGAATTAATCGTTTCTCGCGCCCAAAGCTTCTTCCTCGAGGACCTTGGCTCGGGCAAGAGTACCTCACGTCGAGACTTTCAACCGAGCTTCATGCGACAGGATCAGATACCTCAAAGTCGGACAACGATTCTTCTGCAAGCTGCTTCCCTGCAAGCGAAGCTTCTACTTCGGATCTGGAAGGTGATGCTCATGTCGACGTTCGAAGCGGAGACTCTTCGGGTAGTGACTTGTCGGGTTATCAAGCTGGTGCTGCAGTCGAGAAAGCGAAGGAATCTGATGCTGATTCGAGGCAAGACACCTCGGACTCTCTTCGACACCACAAGCGTCGCTCAACAGCCTCGCAGCTAGGACAGCCATCAGAGCTGAGCGAATGCAAGGCCGCCGCGAGGGGCAGGTCTTTTTCTGCCCCTATACCGGGGACGCATCCTTCTACCGACAAGAGGCATCCGCTAAACGGTACCTTTCTACCTGCTGGGACTGTTGCATTCTTTGGTGTCGAAGGGAGCAGGACGCCCTCGATTTCCAGAAGCTCTTCGGCCAGTGGCTCGAAGGCCGAATCTTTCGAGTTATCCGAGCCCATCTGGAGCTCATCTGCCGCGTGGGAACATTCCAA